CTCCAGTGTTTTTGTTCTAGATAGTTCGCTATAGTCTCAGCGCGTTGGGCCAAAGGGACATGCTGACCATCCATGTTCTTCATTTTCACATAATTGGGTATGAATTTCTTTTTTAATCCCTTAACTGCTCTCCATAAACCTTTCTTATTGGGATCTTGGGGGTTCTCGTTGAATTGTTCTATCAAATGGTCTTGCCTGTCCCTCCGGGCCATTCGGGCAATTTCCCTGTTGAGGTTCGTTATTTCCTTTGCTGTGGTTCCGTTTCGGGCCTTTTCGTTTCTCTCTTCAATTTTTGCCCAAGTATTTTGACGGATAATTTTTTTCGTTTTATTCGGAGGTTCTATCCTTAGTGAGCTTGCGGCCGCGTTTTTCATGGCCTCTGTGAGTGAATCCAAGTCGCATCTTTTCCCCTCTAGCAAAGACCGAATGTTATTATTGCGCGTGCATAACATGTTATAAAATGTCGGATTGGATGATGATGATGATGATGATGATGATGATGATGATGCTCTGAGTTTGGAATGAAGGCACTGAACTGTCAATAAACCGACTGTCAAGCAGTAAAACGACCAAAGGCCTTACTTTCTTGTATTCCTGTAATTTCCAATACCCTCACACAGTTCCCACTCGATCTGCCTTGCGCAACGCTTCCCACTTCCAAGCGATGCTCCACATCATCTGGATGGGGGCAGTGCAATATCCGTCAAACAAAGCTGCGTCGGCCTTCTGGCTGCGGGGTCGATTTCATTGTATGAAATGACTTGCGAAAACAACCGCGCCTACAAATGTGCTTTAAAAAAGCAACAAAATGACTTGCTCCGTCTCATCTCGCCTCACGCTCGGGAAAAATCGAATCGGCCCCGAGTCTCGGGTGAAACTTGGACAACCGTTGACAGCTCATGTCAGTCTTCCGCGTGCGCCACGGACACTGTGCTGCTGTGGCTGTTACCCAAGTCAGTCAAAAAGTTCTTGATCCGCTCACAAAGCCCGCCAGTTTCTTACTCGCCGGACGACTCAGCGGCGAAGGAACTAAGAATAAGCCTGGCCAACCACCCGGCTAACTGTTAGTAAATATTTTATGTACAAATATGCAATACTATATACATTACCAATTCTACCGATTTTCCTGCCCAGTCTACTTGTACCTATATATGCTTCCTTGCAGACCTACCTACTTACCTGCTACAGTAACCTACCAACCTACGACTGGTCGACCGCCGATCTAGCAACAAACCATAACAAACCAAAGCGAGGGGATCTTCAAACCTCAGGTTCTGATAAACAAATACAGTAACTTTAAATAGCACATGACCATACATTGACATGACGTGTTCTCCAAATGGCACACAATTCAGCGGAGAGCAAGCTGCGCACTGCTCAATGCAACGTCGGCAGCCGGTGCGGATGAGGGCAGCGGAGCTGAAACTGCCAAAACAGGTCAGCATCCGAGAGCTAGGTCTCATCAAATGATGTGCTCTGTGCAACTCTCCAGCAGCTCCTTGCAACTGCAGTCTGAGTCTAAACTGATAAAGCGGAGCGGGTCCACAAGAGCACATTGTTGGAAGATCGCACTGGACACACCAGCCGGCACTACACGTCGGCACCCGGCGCAGATGATGGCAGCTGAGCTGATGCAAACTGATGCCACAGCTTCACATATCTTAATAGTGCGTCTCATCTATGTGCCCTTCGCAAGTTTACGCCATCCGCACAGCGAAAGAGCACATTGGCAGGAGATCGCACTTCGCACCAATGACATCCACAGGCACTACTTCCAGGCTACATTATCCTATCCGACATTTGCCATACAAGCCAAGGAAGACTTGGCTGAATGTTAGAGGTCATGAGCAGCACAGACGTGCCAAGGCAGGCATTGATGTTGGGCGATTGGAATCTGGAGCCTCCTGAAAATGCATCAAAAGCCTTCTGAGTAAGAGTTTTCCCGGACACCAGACCCCAAGTGCTCTTTACGGACGGTTTTGGCGACCTAAGCTGAATCTGTGGGGTCAAGTAGTCGTGTTGGTCCGTGTTGATGTGAGGTGATGCGCGGCGATTTGTGGACGTGGGGCGGTTTGAAACCCTTTGTGGCAATGCATGATGATGGTGATGGTGATGATGATGGTGCGGCATCTCGCACTTTCTGGTCATCTATGACCCACTGGACCTGTGGTCATCTGCAATGGCTTCTGATTCTGGCAACCTATGGTGGGTTGCAGGTACTTTCTCGTAATCTAGAGTGTAGAATGTGATGATGCACGGCGGTCTGTAGTGATTGCGGTGATTTGAGATGCTTTGTGGCGATCTGTGGTTTGCTGTGGCACCTGGTGGCTGATGTCAATCGAATGTGCTCCCTCAGTTCACTTTGCGCAGCAATCAAATCACATCCATCCTTATTGAAATTACACCAGCATAGACCCAGATAGCTAGGCTAGGCAGAATCCCACGACCTGTTGACATGCGACTGGCTGGAACAAGCATGTACGAAGCCTGCGCAGCCAGCTTACGACACCTCGCACAATCAGCTGACACCAGCACCCGACCAGCGCCGCCGCCCGTCTTAAACGCGCGCTCAGCCAGCACACAGCACCAGCACCCAGGACCACAACACCAGCACCAGCACCGACACCCTTTTGAAAGCGCGCGCAGCCAGCTCATTCTTATTTGCAGCAAGAACCCCATAGCTATCCCTACTTGGGGAATAACAACGTATGATCTTGCGCGTATATGTTTATGTGCACAAAAGCACGCGCGCAAACAGCGAAGCCCGCAAGTGTCATTGGCCCAAGGACAGGCAGCATCCAGCGCCACTATTGACTTTGTAGCATGCTTGAAGCAACGACCTGCAGAACGATAAGGCCGTATGATCTTGCGCGTATAAGTTGATGCGCACAAAAGTATGCGCACAATCGGCAAAGCCCGTAGGTTTCACTCACCCAAGGCCAAGCAGTATCCAGCACGACTATTGTGTGTGCAGCATGCTGAAACATGCTGGTACAATGGTCGGTTGAGAGCCTGACGCATAGAATATTATACGTACAAAAGTATGCGCGCAAACAGTACAGCCCTTGACACAGCTGTCGGCCAAAACAGAACCTGAAGGATGTAAATACCCCACAGCGCTAATAGACAAAGAACGCTCAAGCGACAACACCGTGTGAGGTTGCGTGCATAAGTTCATGCGGCCCATGACTACTTGCACTTCAGTCAGCAGCGGCGCTTGGTCGCCCTTCACTGCTGCAAGCGGCGGTTTGCTACCCTTCACTGACAGAAGCGGCGGTTGTTATCACCTCACTGTCAGAAGCGGGCACCAGCACCGGCGCGCCAGCTTACGGCGCAGAACCAGCACCCACCGGTATAGCACCAAGCACCAGCACCCGGCACCCTGTCTCCACCACGCGCACAGCCACCACCCAGCACCGGCGCCCAATCACCGCCACGCACACTGCCAGCACCGGCACCGGTGCCCCCTGTCTCTACCATGCGCACTGCCAGCGCCCAGCACCGGCACCGTGTCTCCACCACGCGCGCAGCCAGCTCACAGCACCCAGCACCAGCACCACAGCCCGCACCAGCGCCCGGCACCGGCACCCAGCACCGGCACCCTGTTTCCACCACCCACCAGCACCGGCAACCTGTCTCGAAAGCGCGCCCAGGCAGCTCATTGTGATTTGAAGTAAGAGCCGCTATCTGGGCCAAAAAGATCGCCACATATATGCAAGCTACACCACCAGCACCAGCACCGGCACCCAGCACCAGCACCAACACCGGCACCCGGCACCAGCACCAGCACCAGCAACCTGTCTCCACGTGCGCACCAGCACCGGCGCCGGCGCCCAGCGCCCAGCACCACCACCAGCACCAGCAACCTGTCTCCACCACGTGCACAGCCACCGGCACCCGACACCCAGCACCAGCACCAGCAACCTGTCTCCACCACGTGCACAGCCAGCCAGCTCACAGCACCGGCACCAGCGCCGGCAACCAGCCAGCACCCACCACCAGCACCACCGCCCGGCACCAGCACCAGCAACCTGCCTCCGCCACGTGCACAGCCAGCTCACAGCACCAGCACCAGCACCGGCACCCGGCAGCACCGGCACCAGCAAGTCTCCACCACGTGCACAGCACCAGCACCAGCACGGCACCAACACCAGGAACCTGTCTCCAACACGTGCACAGCCAGCCCACAGCACCAGCACTGGCACCCGGCACCCAGCACCAGCACCGGCACCCGGCAACAGCACCAGCAACCTCTCTCCACCACGTGCACAGCCAGCTCACAGCACCGCACCGGCACCTGGCACCCAGCAGCAGCACCGGCACCCGGCACCAGCACCGGCACCGGCACCCGGCACCAGCACCAGCAACCTGTCTCCACCACGTGCACAGCCAGCTCACAGCACCAGCACCAGCACCGGCACCCAGCACCAGCAACCTGTCTCGAAAGCGCGCACGGGCAACTCACTATTATTTGAAGTAAGAACCCCATAGCTGCGCTATCTGGGGAAAAACACAGTGTTTCACTCATTCCAATTCGGTGCCCACCTATGTCGCAACAACAATTCGAGCTGGGCTCATTCTGAGTTCGCTGTGGTGACTAGTATATACACCCTATTCACCCTATGGTCTTTTGAAAGTTGGTCCAGTGGTGACAGGTAAACACCCTTCCCCCACCTCCAAATGGATGAATTCATGAGATTCTTGTCGGGGTGTAGAGGCGGTCAATTTCCTCTCATGGTGAGCTTACCTGCTTCATTCAGAATTCCCCGCGAACACCAAATTCAGGTTATACCAATCTCACTGATCTTCGCGTCATGTGAATCTAGAAAGTGATTTCAACACACTGATGCTCTGGAAACAAAGTGCCTGACCAACTAGAAAACAGAATGCTGGGCTAATGCCAGCATGACCATGACCTGTAGCTCAGCTAGGGCTTGAAAAAATGGTGCAACTTCAACAAGCAAGCTGTTGACTCCAAGTCTCTTCACAAACTCTTTTTTGCAAATTCACCTGGGAGTATTGTTGCACCTCTGAGCTTCCCGGAAAATAAAAGCCTCTTTGAAGCTCTAGCTATGGCGATGACGTCTGCTCCAACTCTCTTTCTGTTGAGATCGGCGTGCTCGGTTCAACAAAAACATTGCCCTAGCAAACTCTAAATACGAATCTTGAAACTCAAGACTTTAACCCCAGGGCACGCATGTCTTTCTGCCGAAGGGAAATGACAGCCTCGATCGCCTTGGCCAGTCAGACAACAGCATTGCCCACTTCAGCCCACGTCACAGGCATGATTGAAGACAAAAGTACCGGTGGGGGAAATGAATGACACCCACTCACCAAGGTCATTCCTACTTCCAGCTGGATTGTCAGTTGCAAAAATGGCCCCGGTTCATTGGCACATTGCACTTCGAAGGCCCCGCCAAGGCACTTCCGTCTTACTGGGATTCCTTCTTGGCACGGCGCTGTCGCGGATTCCTGCAGATCATTGCTTGCCCATGGATAAGTTAAACAATTTGGATCAGCATGCGCGTGCTGCTTCTTGGTCCACAAAAAAAGGGGAACACTATCAACATTATGCTGCACAATAAAATTATGTCTTGGAGTCCGACTCGGTCTAACTGGTTGACTCCGACAAGAATCACACAACAATCTGCTGGACTGAGAACCCAGCTGCCCACGATTGCGTGCTGGGCGGGTCGTGGTAGTTGACACCGGCTTCTTCCACTTGCAGAGGTGACAATGATCCTAAGCAGCTGAGCGCAAATCTGCGAACCAATGCAGGCGTCACATGCGCGCACACATGCAAGGATGCCGGCTGACCTCCCAAAAATAGAACCAAAAAACAGCATGAAAACATGGCACGGAAATGTCACCTGCATTTTGTTGACATAGAGATGTGTACACACAATGTTTAAAGTAATTATCCTTTCTGGTGGCTTGGTTCGACGTCATGGGAAAAAGGGCCGCTGGCCAAGTTGCACAGTTGGCACCATCTTTGCACCCTTTGCCTTGCAAGCTACTGATAAAGAATGTTTTCTCAAGTGCAAGTTCAGGGTCTCCTCTGCCGTTTTGGCAGAACGTACTCTAGGGTTTGATTGGGCAAGCCTTCACCCCAAGAGCCAGGACAAGGACCCCCAGCTTTGGCAATGAAAAACTGTCTCGGAAACCCTGTTTCCTGAACTATGTTGCGCACTATGTTTCGGAAACTACGTTTTGGGAGCTACATGTTCTTCAAAAAATACTATACAAATATATATATACCTGAGAAGGGAGGGGCGAAAACCAGCCTCCGTAAAAAGATGTGAATATGGTCAACAGGGGTGAACGCGAGAGCGCCGAGGGAGCTTGGGAGGCATAAGGCGGGGCCGACGGGGTGTCCTTTTTCTTTTGCTAGAAAGGGCGTTTGGAAGAGAAATTGGGCACCCCGGAGTCACTTGTGATGGTTCGGAAACGCACATCTCACTTTCCTGCTGTATTTCCGACCTCTTTTCCCGTGACGTTGTCCCCCTTCCCTCCCCTATCCTTTAAAAGCCACGCTCCCTCTAGAGTGCTGAGCGACGCACTTCTCACTTCCCTGGTGAGTTCCTCACCTCTTTTCTTATCAAATCCTCCCCCGCAATGCCTTTCCTCCCCACGAACTCCCACCACCCCATATGGGGTACCCTTTTGCTTCTGGTTAGCAGGCCTCTTCACCATAGAAAAAGGGCACCCCCATGGTCCACTGCATTCTGTTCCCTCTCCTGCCCTCAACGGATCACATACCCCTTCCGCTCGTAGTAGCTACAAAAAAACAGAGTGTCGCATCCCTTGTCAGAAAGATTTCCAACCACTTTTCACGTCCCCTTGTTTCCTGTCCAATACATAAAGCCCCACCCCTGGTACAAGACCGCTTTAATAGTCCCTGGAGACGCACATCTCCCTTGCCGCTGAGCAACGCCCTTCTCGCTTCCCTAGTGAGCTCCCCACCTCTTTTCCTATCATATCCTCCCCCGCTATGCTTATGTCGGGCACGCCAGCCATAGATACAAGGAGCCAAAATAGTTTTATAAAGCAAAAACAAAGCAAAAAAAAAACAAAAGGCAAAGCAAACAAAAAAGCAAAAAAATGTAGCTGTGCGTATTTGTCGTTTTTTTCACGTTTTTTCGCGTTATTTTCGCATTTTTTCGCTTTATTTTCGTTTTTTTTTGTTTTTTTTTCGTTTTTTTCGTTTTTTTTCCTAGGAGGGTACAGCAAATACATATTTGTCGTTTTTTTTCACTTTTTTTTCGCTTTATTTTCGCTCTTTGTTCGCTTTATTTTCGTTTTTTGTTTTCGCTTTTTGTTTTGCTTTGTTTTTGTTTTTTGCTTTGTTTTTGCTTTGTTTTTGCATTTTCATTTGCTTTTATTTTGTTTTTCACTTTTTTCACAAAAAAAAATTATTTGATGGTTGGCCATGTATGGCTGCCATCGCCCAACATAACGCTATGCCTATCCTCCACATGAACTCCCCCCCCCATATGGGGTGCCCTTTTGCGTAAAATTAACCGTCGTCTTCACCATAAAAAGGGGTCACCTCAAAAATTTCTTGCCACCCATATGGGGTGCCTAAAAAAGGCACCCCAAGCAACACAAAGCTGGCCCACCGCATTCTGTTCCCTTTTCTGCCCTGAACGGATCACATCATTTCTTGCAATCCCTTTCCCACAGCATTCTGTTCCCTCTCCTGCCCTCACAGTTCACATCAATTCCACAAGACAAAAGTGCACTGAGAGACGCACACCTCCTTTTCACCTCTTTTTCACTTGAGTAGCCACCAGAGACACACACCTCCCTTTCGTTCCAGCCACTTTTCGCGTCGCGTTGCCCCCCCTTTCCTATTGTCAACATGAACTACCACCCCTGGTAGAAGACTGTTTACATTGCCTCCTCAGCCCCTCATGATGCTAATGATGCACTCTTCGTTTGTCAATTACATCACTTGCATCATAACACCCCAAAAACCATATATTTTCACTCCCATTTCTGCAAACCTCCTTTTTCGCTCTCCCACACCAGGCTCTGGGCTCGCCCTCCCAAATTGGCCTCTGTGCGACCACCCCCCCCACACACACCCTAATTCTCACTTTGTTCACCCATCGACATTAGTCGTTTGCACGGCTTCAACTGCTTCTGCCGTTTCTGCTGTTTGAAGCGTCAGAATTGTTTACCGTTTCTGGAACTATGAGGCGAAAATTCACCATGAAAAGGCTGAATTTCAACTTGCGACGATTTATGGTCGTATCGGCGACTCACCTTTCGAGGCATACTTGCATGCCGGCCCGCAGCTGAAAGGGTGACCTGCACGACGCACCAAGCTGGTAAAGCAAAGCGACAACCTCCAATTTGGAGTGCAATCTGTGCGGCAACTAAGTGAACATATACAGAATGCACATCACTATATACACCAAAAGCAACAAAAGGAAAAGAATTCAGGCCTCCTCTAATAGTCTAAAGGCCTCTTCAACAAGGCCTTCTTTTAAACTTTACGTTCTTTTTACCTTCCTAGATACTACGTGCAGTGCTCAGTGCTCTCCGCTTAGGAGAAGGTCAAGGGGATGCGCCTTGAGACCCAAAGGAGATGCACAGCGGGTGCTGCATAGTCTTGGACCCATCGTCCTCCTTACGGTAGGAGCAAAATTTCGCAAGAAGCGTCGGCGCCTGTGACACATTGTCAAACCAAGATCCAGGCCCCAGTCGGTGTCTCGTCACCACCATCAACCATATCCTCAATGCACACAGAATACGAAAACAAAAATGACAGACCAAAAAAAAGAGCCCACAGCATAGACACAGAATAGACCTAAAAACAATTAAGTTTCTTTATCTGCTGTTCAACCTGGCCTAGCAAATTCCAGGGGATGACACGTGTCTGTTTCCCAAATTTCCTCGGGTGGACTTGGCCTCTACATGCGCCGTTCTTCCTTTGGGCCGCCTGCTCAAAACATTCTCTCGCTTCGCCTGTTCCTTTCTCACCTTCTTGGCCGCGAGTAAACACATACATTATTCCTGCGGGGGTCTACGCAAAAACTTGGGGTGTTTCGTTTTGGCTGCTCCCTCGCGCGCTGGCATCTTCAATGCGATTCTGTTGTTGAGCCTTCTCAATGGTGCAAAGAATAAATCCCTCACTCTGGCTGCAACGCTAGGGATGTACATCGTTTTGCTATATTCGTTCGAGTCGCGTTCCAGGTGACAGGCCCAACCGACACATCTGACAACAGACTGTTGGAGACTGCTCGCGCCCGAGCATATGGTCGTGGGTCACAAAGCCATATTGCCGTATTCCGCACCAGATTTACCGTGGCAAGGTACTGCCCAGTAAGTCTTGCGAAGCTCCACAGGTGGCTTGACTTGCTGCATAATGAATTCCTGGATGACACGGTCTTGGCTCATTGTCAGCAATAGACAAGCGAGAACATGAACTCAAAGGGCAACCCATGCCTGCGGCAAGATTGGCATTGGCAAAGCGGCTGGTTCAGGGGAAGGAGTTTGCAGCCTTGCGGAGGAAACGCACCAAGTTGCACTGCAAGAGCTCTACTTCACGAAGGCTAAGGCTATGAATATTTCCCATGTTTCCTCTGAAAGGCATGCGTTGCAACTTCTTCTTCGAGGCATTCACCGAAGCCATGGTGCTGATGGGCTTGGCGAGCGATCCTGACAGCGGCAAATGTCCATTGAAAGGAAGTCATATGTGTTCTACGAATCGCATTATACAGTATAGGATACTGTACTAGAGTTGATATAGTATTATATATATATATATTGTATTTATATATATACATACTTATTCGGCTGCAGCATTTAAATCTGATCTAGGACACTTTGAACAAGCTTGAGAAGATTCGACTTTAAAATGTTTTGGTTAATGTGACCCTGCCACTGTGGCCCACCTGGCGCATACCTCTGCAAGGTATGCGGCTCCTACCCATACCAGATAGATACTCCACTCAATTAGTCAAGAGGATACTAAATGATTAGATTGGAGTGGAAATTGTGCAAAATGATGCAGTGACCAGCAATTGGACCCACATTGCCACTGCAGAATGTAACCAAAAGAATGCAGTGACCAGCAATTGCAACCGCATTGCCACTGCAGAGTGGTATCAGTGCTCAATCACCAGGAGCATTTAGCCAAGCCGACTGCTGCATGAAATGGTGGCACTCAGCAGACAGCTGCCACAGAAAAAGGCCATCTGCCCGCAAAGATCATGAAAGAAGTGGCATTCGGCGGACAGCTGCTACAAAACGGAGGCTGGCTGCCCAACAAATCCGCCAAGCCATCTAGGAAACTTTGCATCAGCTTCGGACGAAACTCTTTTTCACACAAGCTTGAGAAGATTCGACTTTAAAGTGCACCCCTGGCGCACACCTCTGCAAGGTATACGGTTAAAATGCACCAAGAAGCAGATACGCAAAGCACTCAGAAGTACTTGAAGACATGGCTCGTAATGGTGTATGGCAGGCGAAACAAAAGCAAGGGAACTGGCACTCGATGGACACGAAAATGATGTGCCTGATACCACTCGTCATGAATAGCTGACTGCGCCCATTCAAAGTAACATCCACTACGTAAAGCATAAAGGAGAGCATGGATGCATCCAGCCATAGTGTCAAGCTCCGGATTGTTACTCCGTCCCCTGACCAGGGGCATCAAGGCTGCAATGTTGTCCACAGTCACAGCCCTGATGGATGAGGCCACCCAAATTGGTCGACTACCACGTGGACTTGCAGCTAAAACTCTTTGGTTATTTGGGGTTTCTCAACACTGGCTGTTTTGGCAAGTTGGGCCGGGCAGGGCTCAACACTTTGAAAGAACGCCAGTACTCTCATGCCGTTGACCTCACGGATGATCTCGCGCATGCAGTTGACATGATCGCTTCTTGCACTCAAGCCTGAGTGTGAACTACCACTTCAGCCAATCGACATCGGCTGCTTCAAAAGCTGCCCAAGATGAGCCTCGGCAAGGCTCTGCGGGCTTACCTTTCATTGGCCCCAATGATGAGAGCGATGCCTACGTGGTTGACATCGCACCGGCGCTCTTCGACTTATGGTCCGAACACCCCACCAAAATTGCGCAGTTGGAACTTCTGGCCGTCTATGTGGGGTTCATCTTTGTTGCCAGCCAGGCTCGCTCCTGTCAAGTCGTTGACCTTAGTGAGCAAACGATCACGTGCCCAAAATCGGACTGGGCGACCTAGGTGACATTGGCCCTTGGCTGACGTCAGGAAAAAAACTGAGGAAGTCCGACTGACTCTGCATCTGTCAGCTCGTTACGTGAGGCCGATTCCCTATTTACCCAATTCCTATGATCCCCGAGTAGGCTGATCTGGCGGTAGTTGCCTAGGCTGAACCTCGTTTTCGTCGTTATTTTGGTTCATTGTTTGGGTTGCCCAATGCCGTTACCGCTTCCCTCGATTCTTTCAGGCTGTGTGTCGTCAACTGGGATCCTGTTTTGCTAGCTGCTAGTATGTATTTTGATGACCTCACGGTTCAGGGCTTGGGCAGTATGAAGGGCTCAGCTCAACACTTCATTACCCAAATGGGCTCACCGTGTCAACCCGAGAAGCATCAGGCGCTCGCCAACTGAACATGAAGGCCCGGCTGAATACTGGTACATAGGTCCAGCATGTTGGAGTCATGGCTCACCTCACTCTGGCCACCATCAGCCGGATCATCGATCACCCGCAGCTTGCCGCTGGGCTGTTGAACGCAAACGCGCCGGATCAGGCGAAAGCTGGATACCTGCTCACATAGCTGTGCCCAGGAGAGAGCAAAGTCTGGGTGAGGCATGGGCACGTGAGGCGAAAAACCGACCTGGACACAGTGGACCTCGTCAGTAATTTTGTGAGCCGAAGGGCGTGGATTGCCAAGGGAGCAGGAGCCACCTGCTCCAGCGCAGACTGCGCCGCCGTCTTCTGTGGCAATCGGCGCCGCTTGACCTGCGGCTCTGCGGCTAATGGCGGTGGATGTAACCATATACAGGATGAGGAGACACGTGTAGTAGCCGTCTCACGAAGTGCAACAGTTCGAATTGCCGTGACCGATGCAGGCGTGAGGGATTTCACCATCGGCATGCCCGGGATATTCACAAAGGAGACCCGCCACCATAGTCTCCGCCCACCACACCTTGGCCGTAGAGCTGCTGACTTCTTCCCGCATCACGAGAGCTGCTGACAAACGCAGCTGGTGTCCCTGCCGCTGCTTTTGCGAATCGTAGCGGAGCGGCGTTTGGGCTGTTTGGGCGCCAGCCCGAGGGCCAACGTTCTGCGTCCGTCAGGCGGACAAGGCCAGCCAATGTAAGACCCTGCGAGCTCAACTGATCCACTTCAAGGACGCCTCCAAAATAGGGGCGAACCACCCTCCTGAATGCCTCTCCATGCCGAGGACGAACTCGATCAAAATGCCGCTTGAAGATGCCGCAGAGGTCGGGGCTACCCATGGTCCTTGGCAAGGACCACGAAAAGCCGTCTCGGCTGCCAGTTTTTCCACGCTAGCACCGGCTAGAGGATCATCACGGCAGAGTTGGGCCCCAATCAAGAAGCTGCGCTGCAAATGACCGAGCCCCACCACCCCGAACACCATGGCGAACGCCGCCGGCAACATGGGCCATGGGGGTGCTCTGTAGTGTGTTCGAAAACACCGATGGGTGATCATGCCAGTTTCGAGAGAACTCAACGAAGTGTATATTCATGTGGGGCCCCACAATGTGGGGCCATGATGCTCACGGACGAACGTAGCCAATGCATGGGGATCCGGTCCCCGAATAAATGATCCATGTACATCCATGTACCGCACAAGGTCCTTCCATGCAGATGAACAGGGAGGCAACACCCCCCCCACTGCGCCATACGGACGCTTCGGCTCTCTCTTCGGCCTCACGGGCCCAGCAAAAAAGGTGGAAGTAGGCCTGGCCTACCCGGCTGAGGGGGCTGAGACTGATGCACAGTCTCTCGCGCGAAAAGGCCGCGCACCCGAGCTGTCATGCCAGGCCAGGCTTCACCCTGCCGACTGCAGACGGCCCTCACAAATGTCTGCAGTTGAGAGTCCGGCCCTCCTGCTTTAAACGCTCCAGAAAACAAAGCCCGGATCAGCCTGCAGGATTTAGTAGGCCTGTGGAACCTGTACTTGGGCATGTGCGCAGCCTGGCTAGGGCTGGTTTCCTGGCCATGCCACCTCGGGTGTACCGGTCAAGACGGACCGGATCTTCTAGATCCCAGACAGGGTTTGCTCGGCGATGCTGCTCGATGACAATAGACAGTTCCCTGGAGCTTGAAGAGTATTTTGAAGACATGTTTAATCACATGGCCTTGAACTGCCTCATCTGCGGACGCATGATCCTGAATCATCGTGAACTCAGGCACCACATCATGCATCCTCACCTCCAGTACTCCACGGTGATGTACCAGTGAGAACTTCGCGACGTCACCACCCCCCATGTCATGGCTGTAGGGACAAAACTGGTTGGAATCACACCCAGTCAAATTCCTCCACAAGTGTCACGTGGCACCTTGTGGCCTGTGAGCCTTCCCTTTTTCTCTTTTTCTTTTTTTTTGGGGTTTGAGCAGTGATATGGCCCTGCTTGGCTGCTGTGGCATCCGCGGCTGGGAGCCCAGCTGTGCTCCGAAGTGCTGCTGCCGCTGCTGTCTCTGAGGGATCATTTTGATTGGATCTTCCATAATGTATGTGCTTGATCCTCCAGCTGAGTGGTTGCTCAGTGACAATTCCTTGAGGGGCTGCACGGATCACAGTTCTGATTGCACTTGGCTTGAAGCAGGCCTGAATGATATTGGCCTGAGGTCGTGTCCAACCTGTCGGCCATTCACATTAAACTACCACCTGCTGCAATAGATGTTTTTGGCATGCGGTTTCTTGCTTTGTGCCTCTGCGCGCTCCGGCGCATGCTTCACAAGAGGCCCGGAGACACACTCCTGAAGGCCACATGTGCCTGCGCTCGACGGAATATGAGCCAAACAGCATTAACAAACAAACTAACTAACTCACTCACTGGTTCACTAACTCACTCACTAACTCACTATCTATCCATCCATCTATTTGTCTATTTGTCTATGCATCTATGTATCTATCTATCTATCCATCCATCCATCCATCCATCCATCCATTTATCTATCTTTGCTCCCATGTGTGCGCATCTTTTTTTTGCATGTTTGAGACACTTGTTGAATAGGGCTGCATCGGCCGCTAAACATTCATCAACGATCACAGCATCTTTTGATCAGGTTCCAACTCTGGTGAGAAGTGCTACAAGACTCGTGGAAAATGTAATGCAGCAAATCCTTTTAACCTTGCACGGCACGTGCTTAGCCCACCACCGCATCACTACCTGTTGTTCTACCACGTGAGCTTGTGGTCTTCCTTCATGAAGAAGATGGTTTCCCAAAGTCGTGGCTGGTGTGATTCCAACATCGGAGGCCAAAAGCGTTCAAAACCTTTGTTGGTAACAATCTAGGAATCTAGGCGTTAAAACCTCCAATAAGCATCTGATGCTCCAAAGGCTGGCTGGCCTTTTTCGTGGCTGGCTGCCGCCCACGCTGTGTAAAAGGCACCTGCGTCTCGTTCACGTCCTTGTTGCATGCACGAAGGTGCTCGAGAAATGATGAGTTTTTAAGCACAAACTATAGGAGTCCCTGACTGAATTGAGAATTTTGCGATGACACTTCCAAAATGAGTCCTCTTCGACAAACCTCAGCCAAGTGGGTCCCAAAATTTCTCTTGAAACATAGCTATGGCAAGCTTGATTGTGCTAAGCACGAGACTCTTGGTAAGCACCACCTAGGCTAGAGGCAAATCTGGAACCTTCAACACAGCAGGAAGGCTGTGGGTGGGCACTAGCCATGAAGTTACCCTATACGTTTGTGTCCTAGTTGGCTCTATTTGACCTCATCCTGCTCCGCTCTATCATTTGCAGTGAATTTCTGACGAGGAACATTTGGGCAGGCCAGTCCTCGTTGGGGAAGGGTCAGGAGTGCGGTAGCCACAGTGCAGCGATGGCAAACCACGTTCCAAGAGACCGAAGACCAACTTCATGTTGGAGATGCCTAATGAAAACAATTTTCTTTAAAAAAAAAGGTGGCATCGCAAAGGGAGCAAGCACGTTGGGGCCGATCTTTTGGAACCCGTTTTCTGAGAAAGCGACTTGCCGGGTGCTCTTGATCAGAAGGAGTCTTACTGCCATCCTTGGCACCCAAAACACTTGTGTTTGGCCCAACCTGCATGACCATGCTGGATCCGCCAAGTAGCCGTCGTGGAGTCCAAACAAGGATCCTGGAAGTCATTGAAATTGATGTACCTAAGTTCGCCCAAATCCATCCAAGGCTGCGCTGCGCTGGAGCTACGAGTAGCTGTCTGCCGTCTTTTCGCTGCGGCGATGGAACCAAGCCACGGCATGTGGGTTTCGGGAGTCGAAGAGCGAGACCGAGACCCCACCATGGCCTAGGTTGAAAACAAGGCCACCCACTTTTCCAGCATCTATCAACACAGTTGGGTGTGCATGTTTTTACCGTAGTCGGGCCGGGAAGTTGAATAGGTGGTATGATTCGAGGGCATGATTCGGGGTATGATTCGGGGGTATGATTCGAGGGTATGATTCGCAGATGATTCGCACCTTTGAAGTTGTATTGTTGGATTAGTTGGACTTCCAGCAGTGGGCCCACTCTGCGCCGAGGCAGTAAACAAACAGCATCTATTGAATGCTGGGCAGACTAGGCAATCGCACTCTTCCTCCAAAGGCTCCAGTAGTGGCTTCCTGCTGGCTCCACCAAAACAACCACGGTGTGAGATGGGTGCGAAACTGTGTGGAAGTGCGTGATTCGGGTATGAATCGGGCATGAATTGGGTGTGATTCGTTTGACCATTAGATTCTGCAAAACAAGGTGGTCCTTTGGCCCTTCTTCCCAAAAGAGTGCACATGGGAACATTAGCAGTACCCCTGGGATGTGAGCCTTTGCTCTTCCCACAAGAAGACACAAAATTCTGGCCAAATTGAGTGCCCATGGATCACACCGTTGCAAACGTCATGCACCATTGGCTCACGGACATCTACAAGGCACAAAGACCAACCAAAAATTTCACCCTAACACCAACACCTGGTTCTTACATGTGCCTTTTTGAGGGATATGATTCGGGGGTATGATTCGAGGGTATGTTTCGAGGTATGGTTCGAGGGTATGAATCTTTCAAGTCGAACTTCCAACCACTACATCAGCAAGTGCACGCCAAAAAATACAAACCCAGTTGGTATTCAGCCAAGTAACTGCCATGATTGCAACCTCAAACGGTTGGCAGCAACATGGTGGAAAAAGATCACCGGAGACCATGACAACTGGCTCTATCGCAGCAATGAGCATCCCTCTCTCTCTCTCTCTCTCTCTGTCCGGTTCAATTCAGGCCCAGGACCTCAGAAGATCAAAGGTTCAAAAAGCCGAACACTGACACTTGCGAGTGCACGTGAGCGAGCTTCACGACAGCGGGCAGTGTGGATGAAAAATGCCATGCAGACCCAAAAGCAATCAAGAATTCCAAGTTTGCAGATGTTGAAACCATAACATACGCAACCTTAATCGGAGACCAGTATATGCCATATAGCACCAACCCTGCGCGCCATGACAAGCACCCCATCTCAAGAGCACGGCGACAAAAAAAGACCCGCTATCCCGAATTAGGGGGCGGTGGGCATTAGCGCCTGGTCCACCAGAGGGGGTGGGAACGAACAGCGTGACGCCGCAACGGTCCTTGCGGCGCAGCCCGCGGGCTGTCGGGGAATCCACACAGCTGGGCTGTTGAATCAGCCACAGGGAGGACAAGGTTGCAAAAGGAGGCTTGTCGCAAAGGGCTGCATGGCAGCTTGCGCCGCCGGTCGGGGGAGAGCAAAGGGAGAACCTCAACTCGGCACGGACGGCTCGAGCACGGGCTTGCGCGAGGAGTCGGAGGGAAGTGACGGACTCGTCGCTCCAGCGGCTGCCGGCTTCGATGCAAGAGCTCAGGTTACGCTCGCCCTTTTAAACGACAAGCGTCGGAAAGGGCGGGCAGCTCCCCCGCGCCAGCGGGGAGCGTCCGAGCTGGTGAAACGGGACACCAATGTAGTGTTGATCTTCGATCCGGCGGCTGTCACTGCTGGTGGAGGTACTTCCTTCCCGGGTGTGCGCACATCTACGCGGGTTTACTCCGGTTGACGCGGTTTATGCGGGTCTATGCGGGTTTACGCCGGCTGACGCAGGTTTAGGCGGGCTTACGCGACACGGGCTCAAGGGTTCACGCGCGTTTACGTTTACAGGTTTGCGTCCGTTGGCTACAGTAGAAAACAATACCGTCAACTACTTCTAGGGACTCTGGGTGGTTGTATTATAAACCCCAAATTGTGGAGTCTAATTCCAATCACCAATGCGTTTAGGTGTTAGCCCCGCCTGGGGGAACTCCAGCAGAGGCCAATTACCATACAAACACTAGCGCCTTTTTCTCCACAATCCTTGCTGACAACAGTCCACCAATTGCAAATGGCAAGATGCTTTCTGGACTATGACACCAAAGGATCAATCCATCCTAGGCCCTAGAACACGCTCTCAAGCGACCTACCTCTTCAAATTATGGGCGCCCTTTGAATAGGTTGGACCATTTCGAGCGCCGCGCATGCTCAGAGGCTCAAAGCCAATGAGGATCTCAAAGCTTGAAACCACCAAGACAAAGACCCTTTCTGGCTCAGAACAGCAGGTGCGAAGTCCTAGTGCATAGTTTATGTTGCTTCAATCGTTTACGTTTTTTGGCTGCCGCTTTGCGACAGAGAGCCGTAAGAAGTGCTTGCCAGCACTTTTTTTGGCGTTTTCGACGAAATTCGCCACTTTGACCAGTTGATGTTTCACAATACCATGGATCACTGACATCAAGCGGCCACAGCTTCCGGGTGCGGGGGAAGCGCCTTTACAGTGATGTACACAATTCTGTAAGATGCTTCAACCTCGTTCCACGAGGCTTATCAACCTTAATGGTCTTACAACCTGTGGACTGGACGTGCGACATGCCATGATCACTGCCAGCAACGATGTTTGGCAAATTCCTGCGGCATGTTTTTTTTTTTTACGTTTTGGCACCTTGTGTCAAGGAGGACAACACTTTGCACACACGATCATCAAACACAATTGTTTGAAGGCACTTTGAAGGTTCAAAGCTTTGGTATACCTAGGGCAATTCTGCTAAGGGGTCTTGCTACCCATTTTGTGTGGATGGATCACCGTGGGAGATTACAGTTTCAGTCCCACCCGCTTTCCGCTAAATAAACCTGTCGTTGGGCGGGTTCCCTTGGGCTTTTGAAGCCATCAGCCTCAAATCTCTCAGGGTTTGTGTCTGGTGGTGGGTTGAATTATGTTTTTTTTGGTGCAATCTGGTCTCTCTGGGGGCTTAAAGCCTTTGTATCTCTCTATCAAATGGGGAGTTCACCCCCTGTTTGTTCATAGCGTCATAACGTTTGTACCGCACCGGTCCTGGTAGTATGGGTGTATGTATATATGTAAAGGCCACATCACCTGCCCAACTCTAAAGCAAGATCAAAAATCAAAACACAACCATTGCTCTGTAAAACGATTCAACAACCCCTTGAGGGGCCTGTCGTGTTGCCACATGTAAACCCTACGGGTATTGCCACGGTCGAAAATGCTCGAAGCTGGCGCGTCGATCCGGCAGGGTCGGCTGACAGCGTGATGAGAGCAATATTGCATCCCTTCCCTTCTGTCCTGCACATGTCCATGATGTTGTGGTGCTGGAACTTCATCCTTAATCATTTCCACGCTTCCGCTGAACAGGCGCGTGCGCGAGGCCACCATGTGCTGCAAAATTCTTTGTTGGCGCCACTGTTCAAGCCTTTTTCTTGCTTGGGAATTTCGCTTTCACATGTGCGTTGCGTGGCGAAGTTTAGTCCCTTCTTACGCCAACGTCTGGTGAACAGCTGTGCGGACATTGGTGACCCGAAGGGTTCCTAAGCTAAGCATACATTGCCAAAAACATAACAATCGCAACGGCCCCCACAGTGGGACTCTCATTTCTCAAGGCAAGGCAAGGCAAGGCAAGGCAAGGCAAGGCAAGGCAGGCAAGGCAGGCAAGGCAGGCAAGGCAAGGCAAAGCAAGGCAAAGCAAGGCAAAGCAAAGCAAAGCAAGGCAAAGCAAGGCGAAGCAAGGCAAGCAAAGAAGCAAGCAAGCAAAGAAGCAAGCAAGCAAAGAAGCAAGCAAGCAAAGAAGCAAGCAAGCAAAGAAGCAAGCAAGCAAAGAAGCAAGCAAGCAAGCAAGCAAGCAAGCAAGCAAAGCCAAGCCAAGCAAAGCCAAGCCAAGCAAAGCCAAGCCAAGCAAAGCCAATCCAAGCAAAGCCAAGCCAAGCAACGCCAAGCCAAGCAAAGCCAAGCCAAGCCAAGCAAAGCCAAGCCAAGCAAAGCAAAGCCAAGCAAAGCAAAGCCAAGCAAAGCAAAGCCAAGCAAAGC